CGCTTGGCAGATCTTGCAAACCACCTTGGTTTTATCCAGCTCTTTGTCCTTTGTTGTTTTAAATCCGAAATGGTTCCAGACGTCAGACTTTAGTTGGGACGGCTTGCTGAGCGGGGTTTTACCTGCGTCGGTCATTTTGTGTAAGCACGCTTGTGCGCTTGAACGTCAACCTGTCGTAAACGCACTACTGCGTCATCATGCACGAGACTATTGGGGTTAACTTCATGAGAAAAAATTTAAAAAAAACCTTCATGGGGAAAAAATGGATCTCGTGCCCTATGAATCGATATTGCAAAATTTAAATAAAATCGATCCAAAATCGATTAAATCGATTTTTTTACCCAGCCCTAATGTTGACCAACATTTGGCAAAAATTGAGACAAGACGTCACGTCTCCGCTTCCTCCCACTGTACAAAAATGAAGCCAAAATATCCGGGTATGGCTACTGCCGTCTTTCACCAGTCAGAGCCAGACTCTGCAAAGTAGTGATTAGTGCTGGCGCCACAGTAACAAACTCCCGCCCATACTGGATAACAAAAGAGGAAAGCTCATCAAATTGAGCAGTTTCATGCCTGAAGTCAACATGCCACAAAAGGTTGCCAACACTATATGTACTTATACCCATGTGATGGTGTGCCAGTACCAAACATGGCTACTTAAATGCCTGTTACTTTTGTAAAACCCTCCATGGCACACAGTTACACAGGCCATTACAGTACATACACAATGTAAATACCCTTTTTACACAGTTAAGAAAGTTTTGTAGTTTACAAAATTACCCAAGTGCCATGTCTAACTACGGTAAAAACTAAAATTATACATAAATACAATACCTAATGTCAGATGTCTTAAAGTAGTAAAAATAAAAATAAAAATAAGTAGTGCAATAAATGCATGAAAAGGTAGCCAATACATTTGGTCCAATGGAGCTAACCAGCCACAACACCGCACAGGAAAGTTAACAGAGAACAAGTAACAAGCTAGCGAGGGCACATTTTCCATCATTCATCATCAATCATGTTGGAAAGAAAACATGCTACATGCTAAGCTTTGCAGACATTCCCAAACGTGCTGAAATGCCATCGGTGCTGCAGTTAGTAATGTGGTCACTATTAGTCTGTAGACACAATTACAATGACACTAATCCCCCCCAGGTCAAAAAGTAGTGCATTTAAACAGAGCCTTAGTCCCCTACCCCAGCGAGTCAAGGGGGCAACGAGAAGAGAAATCCTTCACCTTAAATGGAAAAGTTCAAAATACATTTGTGGAAGCGTAGTATGCTCTCTATGTTCAATTTTGGCTTTCAGCTTTGCCCACTCATTTTTTCCTTCTCATTAGTGTTAACTGTGTCAATTTTCATAACCCACAGCTTGACTGAATTGGTTATTTAAATAGGGTTTGTCTTTTCTCTCGTCAACTTGCAATAAACTTCAAACATAAGTCGCCCCCACTGTGAACAAGAACGCGCCAAAGGCATTTTACAAAGTGGCATCAGATTAAATATAAATAAATATGAGGCTGTGAATTTTTACATTTTCAAGTTCCAGTCACTATTTCATATTAATATCATCATTTAGGAAAACTTTAAAAGAGATGAGACAGAAAGGGGCATCACAATTATCCTTTTTGCTTCTGAATTTGTGGTTTTCCTAAGATGATGATAAACTAATCAGGTGAAGGAATGAAAGAAATGTGTAAAACTCCAGTCAGGCTGAAGAGTCTGAATGAATGCACATGTAAACATAAGAAAATGTCTCTTGGTGTGGGTCAGTCAAACACAGACAGGCAGGTCTGGAGGATGAGCCGGGATGATGTACAGGTCTGTGTTTGTCTGATGGAGCTGCCAGCTAATTATACGTTTGGATGATTTCTTTTGGGGGTGCTCATGGGGTCAGATGAGGATCTCCACCATGTCGTTGTCCACTTCCTGTTGGGTGGGCGGGGCTGGAGGAGGGGCCTGTTGCTGCGGGTGGGACTGGACAGGTAGCCTCCGCTCCAAGGTGCTGCTGTGAAACACTGGCACATCTACAAAGAGAAGACAACAAACAAGACTTCTGATGATCCAGTCTGTTTTGTAAACCACTAATATTAAAGGCTAACCTGTATGTGTTATATAGCACAGTAAAAAAGAAACCAATCATTCTATATTTAGTATATATTCCAATACCATCTTTTCGGTATCGGCCGAAGGTGAGTTATCAGAATCAGTATTGGGAAGAAAAAAATGGTGTATATATTATGTGAGATGACCTGCTAAGCGGTCGGGAATGTAGATGGGGCTGGGGCTGGACAGGCGGGCGGGCAGCGTCATGCTCTGCAGGGCTGGAGTGCTGGGCTTGCTGGTATCTTGATTCTGGCCCTTGTCGGTCTGTGTGCAGCTGTCTCTGCTGCCTGTCTTTGAGTGTCCTGTGGTCATTGGGGTGGAGGGAAGCACCGGGGAGGGAGATGATGAGATTGACTCTGTCCTGAGAGACTCTGTGCGAAACTCAGGACCCAGCAGAACTCCTGAAGGAACATAGAAAGAGAACAATCATTACTCAGAAACACTGACAGAAGCTACAAGTTACTTTCTAACCCCAGGGTTTGACATTAAAACTGCAGAAAATACGTTTCTGTCATTATTGCGGAAATTTGTGGAAAAGGAATGAGACTAAACAATCAACAATCTTTCTTGGCTCTGATTGGTTGCTTTTATTCAGGCCTGGTGAATTCCTGTACATTCCGCTAGGATCATGAGGAGGAACCGGAGGAACCAGATTTTTTCACAGATTATCTGTCTCGTGTACTACTGTCAGGATATATTGAAAGTTTCGGCAAATATGACAAAAAAAATATTTTTTGAAATTACCTACTTTTTATATAGGTTTACATTTGTGGACCCCAAAATGTGTTCTGGCCACGAAATTTGTTGGGGCTGCTGTGGCTCAGAGGCAGAGCGGGTCGTTGGAAGGTTGTTGGTTAGATCCCTGGCTCCTCCCGCCAAGTGTCGAAGTATCCTTGAGCAAGATACTGAACCCCAAATTGATCAAGATGCTGTGCATGTGTGTGAATGTGTATGGCATCACTGAGTGAATGTGTGTGAAAGGGCGAATTTGGCATGTAGTGTAAAAGCGTTTTGAGTGGTTGGAAGACTAAAAAGGCACTATACAAGTACAGGTCCCTTTACCGTTTATCATTTACCATTTAAAAAATATTAGGGTTCATTCCTGCACCTACCTGTAGTATCAACTGCTGTTCACATGTGGAAAATACTCTATAAGGACTGCTGGTTCTTACCCAGGCTGCCCTTCCAGCTGGTGTCTTTGCGTTCTTCGGTGATGGGCGAGCTACTGAGTCCCAGGCTGTGAGAGAGCAGTCCTGAACCACTGGAGCCAGTGTTCGAGATGGACATCAGGGACTTGGAGGGCCTCATGGCAGATGGAGCATCCGACTTGATGGGCTCTTTCCTGGACCGCTGGTGAAGCACCTTGATCATAGCGTCCTTCTCTATGATCTGTGCATGGAGATTCTTTATCCTGGATTAGGGATAACAAGAGAGAGGACCAGAGTTACTGCAGGACAGTAGACTTTCTGGTTTTTTTGGTCCGGACCATTAAAAAACATTGTTGCCTGTTGGTTCTGGTCCGCTTCCTGTTTATGCTGGCTTTTACAAAGACAATTTGTACATGTACATGTACAAAGACAAGTAAACATGAAGTCACACAGACTGGTAGCTCATTCATTGAACATGTTTGGTGATGTCATCCTGCATCAGCAGAGCTACATAGACACAGGTGGAGAGATCTAAGTCTTAAGACTAACAACAGGCCTTGCCGTGAAGAGCTCAACAAGAAATATCTGGACCTCATCTGTCACACAACAACAAGAACCGGGATGGAAATGTGTATTTTCAGCTGAATGTGTTCACTTAACTGACGTCCTGTAAGTACACAGAAACATGCTGTCTATTTGGTTCACTGTAATGCAAAAGACATATAAGTCTGCCTACAGATAGGAGATTGGCCATCTAGAGACCTGGTGCAGCCAGAACAACCCTCAGCTAAACGCCCTAAAAAAACAGTGGAGATGGTTGTGGACTTCAGAAAGAACCCAGCCCCACCCGCCCCCATCATCCTGTGTGACTCCCCAGTTGACTCTGTGGAGTCCTTCCGCTTCCTGGGTACCATC